TATTGGTATCTCAAATCTAATATGTCACCTATTTTGCATAGATAAATAATTACATACATAATATATTCAAACATTTTAATCTTAAACTTATTATTGTTACATATTAAACTGTTTGACTATTTAAAAGCAAAATAATAAAATATAAAACACCGTTAACTAAGAAATTAAGGAGTGATATAATATAATACATATAAAAATGATTATTTATCTTTATGTTTTTAACTAATACAAATATAATACGTTCCTATACAAATATTGTATTGATATAATCTATATTCGCCGGCAGCTTTCATCTTTGAGTATCTCTTATTATTACGTCGATAAAATACAATTAATTAATTATATCATAATTTATATGTTTACATTGCTTACAAAATTACAAAATAATGTAACGCATAACGGCCTAACAAGAAACATTGTTATATTGTAGTTAATAGTTATTGTACTACTGTAATAATGATATATTTATTCTTCAATTTAAAAAATTTTGTTGACATATTGTCTAATTTGTATATAATAATTAATAACAATGGTTATTTTCGATTAAAAAATTACTGTTTCGCACATTTTGTAATTATTTAACCAATAAAAATGAGACTTTTCTGAAAGAGAATTAATTTAAGGCAATATTCAAATAAGAAACTTTCAAAAATAATATTTTTCTGTTTGGTCATGAACGAAGAACGTATATTAGTTTCATTTGCGATCGTAGACAGATATTAATAAAGTTACATTTACATTATCATTGGGAAATTGGTATTTCGCTATCGTAATTGTGTTTATCGCTGTTCAATTAAAGTATAAATGTATAAAAGAGGACTACAGAATACAGATAGATAGGTACTACGGGTTTTATAAAAGTATAAAATATGGGGGTCTGAGATAGCTTATTATCGTTTAGTGTGTAGGTAATTTAGATTAAGCCGATTAAGGTTTTCACTTTTTCAGTTAATACCAAACACGAGAGAAGTGTACATGGTGCACGTTTTAATAATATTACATGTTCTAAATTTTACACTGAAATTTCGTTCAAAAACCACGTGAGTACTAATACATTATCAAGTAATTTTTTTTTTTTTTTTAACCGTACACATTCGTTACCTATGAAATAATGGCTCCAAATGCATCACCATTCTTTAATTTTAATATGGACAATCACGCTGTTCATATTCAAAATAATGTCTGCCATAATTTTAATTACAATAAAAATACTAGTTCTATATCAATGTTCAGAAATCGTTTGAAATCAATAAGAGAACAGTTTGTGGCAGTCAACAGTCATTATTTAAAGGAAAACATTATAGAATCAGTTAGTCATTTTTCGCCTTCAGCTTTTGTTAGGAAGGAAAAAACTGAAAATACATGGTTGAGCGATATGCGATCCGTTTCATGTATGCGTTTGGATTTTATGCGCAAGATGACAATTAATCAAACAATGAGGGAAAAAATGGAGTTGTGGCAACAGAAAAAAGATGAAATCTCACGAAGTAGAAAATTTGACATTTCATTCAAATCAACATTTCAACGTGATGAAATTTTAGTTAAAAAAGAAAACTACAAAATTATTTTTGATCAGATTAAGGAACGTGCACTCATCGCAGAGGAACAGGCAATTCCCATTAATTACCAACAACGTAGTAGAGAAATTTGCTTCAAAGCTGTCTTGACAAAAGCGGTTTCAATTGTAAACATTTTGAACAGTTATTTTAACAACCAACAGTTAGTATTAAATGTTGGCAAACAAATTGAGGATTATTATTCAATGGAATCAAGATTAAATGTCTTAAAAAATATTAAAATTATCGAAGAAGCCCCATTAATTGCTGCCCGAAGCTTGTTGAAGGACCTAACATTATATAAAAATAATGTAGTTATGCCAATTCAAGCGGAAATAGAAACATTAAAGGCACAAATGGATAAAAAAAAGAATATGTTACATTTATTTTCTGTTAATAAGCCTGCTGAACACACGGTAAAAAATGTCAGACGACAATATGTTGCTTTAGTAAAAAATAACAAAGTATTAATTAACAATTTGACTGATGTAAAAAAATTACCGTTTGTAAATGATCCAACTACAAAAATATTTAGACAAAATGTAATTAAAGTAATTAATACATTAGTTAATACTATATCAACCACAAATGTCACACATTTAACTGATAAATATAATAAGTTAAACGCATTGTTAAGTGGAAAACTTGTGTGTGTCGCAAACACACAAGTTATGATTAATGAAAATAAGGAAGCATTGGCATTTTGTATGGAAACTTTAGCTACAAAAATAGTAAATTATGCAGAGGAAGTTATATGTGTGAAGACTCAAGCTGCTTATGGAATTGCAACAGTTATAACTAAGCTTTGGAATGTTCATCAGCAATTTGGTAAAATTCTTCTTGCTGAAATGAAACAAAAATGTCCTTTGCTAGTTCCGTTTTACTATCCCATAGCAAAATATTTAAATTGTGAACAGATAGACCATAAGTCTTTTGGTTACAAGTTTGATTCTTTAGGAAATGTTGAATCTGATGAAAAGTATTTACAACGTATGACTGGAATTATACGACTTTATGCATCTCTTATAGTAATCTCATCAAAATGTGATCAACCAGTAATTGGTCTAAGTCATGCATGGATTTTTGTAGCCGGAACATTAAATCAAAACCCAGTTGCAGATATCACAGCTTCTATATTGGTTGAATTTCTAAAAATTGTTGGCTTTGCAATGCATCAAGTATATGGAAATCAATTTATAAAATTATTACAATATATTAATACACACTTTTTAGAAAAAATCATATTGGTTACACCCAAAGGTAATGGAGGACCCATTACTCGTTTAAATAGCTTTTTGTCAAGAAGTCTATGTACTGGGTCTATTGAAGAACCTAAAGGTATACTATTTGATTTTTAAACATTTTTATTTTGTATTTAGCATAAATTATTTGATTAATAACTTTTATAATTGTTTTATTTATTAAAAAAAAAAAAAAAAAATATATAAGAAAAATACAACTAAAAAAATTATAAAATACAAAATACAAAAAAAGTGTGAAACAAATTATTGTTAAAAAATTAATTGATAAAAAAAAATCTTTGTTTATTGAGAGAAAATGCTTATTTATTGAGAAAAAATGCTTATTTATTGAGAAAAATGCTTATTTATTGAGAAAAAAATGCTTATTTATTAAAAGTGAAATACTTATTTATTGAGAGAAAATGTTATTGTGTACCTATGTTGCTTAATTGTTAACAGCATTAATTTTTAATTTAAAATTTTAACTTAATTTATTGAATGTTGGATTTTTTTTACATTTTTAAAATGATTTATGTTTTAATTTATAGTCGATGAATCGCTTTTTGATCTGAATATACATAAATATATATTATTTTTTTTTTTTTGGTATTAACGTGTTCATAAAATCATGCAACTTATTTTGAAAATATTTGTTTTGAGTTATTTATTTATTTACAATTTTTTTTAAGAATTTTACAATTTTGCCGCAACTGAATTATTTAAATGTTAATAAAATTAACAATATGTACAGAATACTTGTTTTTTTTATTTTTATTTTCTTTTTCATTTTAACTTATTTATAGCATGAAGACATTTCATATTTTAACATATTTGAAGAAATAAGTCACAAAGGAGTATATTATTAAGTACTGGTTGTACAGATTTTAATCATTGAAATAAGTGAATAGCAATTAAAGAAAAAAAAAATATAAAAAATAAAAAAATAGTAATATTTATTTTAAATGTTTTAGATTTTTCCTTTAGTTTCAGTGGTATATAATCTGTCTAAAATTAAAAAAAACACAAGTTGTTTACAAGATAAGTATTTTGGTAAAATAAAACTAATAGAAAAATCTAAATTGAATTATTAATATTAAACCATCTGTAATCTAGATTACACAATAAGCATAAAATTATATAGTTACATCAAATTTCTTTAAAAAATTAAAGATAGACATTATCTAACAGTTATTTAATAGTGGTAAATATGTTTTGTTTTATATGGTTATGTTACATACTCATGTTCTCAGGTAAATGTTTTTTGAATTTATATTTATAGGGGTTAAGTAATGAATTTAATAATTTTTGTTTTATATAGTACAAAATATATAAATAATCAATTAAAAATGTTAATACTTAACAAGTCTATTATGTTGTAATGAAAATCATGGATTATCTCTACACGTTTACACAATTACATATGGGTAAGAATCAAATATAACTTTTCAGCAATAGTTATAACATCAGTTATTAAAAACTAAACTGATATTTTAAATATGCATTTCAAGCATTGAAGTGAAAGTTAACATTTTGTGGGATTAACGATAAGGCAATAAAGTATTAATTAATTTCTAAACCTAAAATTTGATGATTTATCACAGATTGATATTAGTCTTAATAATTTGTCAGAAACTCGTATAATTTTATTAAAGGTAAATAGAATGTTGTAAATAAATGGTTGACCAATTATGATGTTTACTTACATGTTGCAGTATATACAGAATTAATGACTACATCTAGCTGAATTATTAAAATTAAAATACCAAACTTGAAGTAAAGTGCTCTCCATTTTAATTTTTTAAATACAATTCAGCATTGCGTTTCAATTTCAAATACTACCCATGTGGAAAAATCCACCATTGACTAGGTTAATTTAACGTAACTATGTTACGATTGTTACGCACTAACTATATTTATTTTAATTTACTTAATTAAAATTAATAATGAAAATATGTATCAAGGCCCAAGGGACAAGAACCGAGATTTCGCATTATTTTGTTATTTAGTCAACAAGAAACGTGTTATCATTTTATCAATTTTCTTTGTTGTATGAACTGATATCATATCTTTAGTTGTGGTTGATTGTACCATTATACTAGTACCATATTATTTAGAATACTAGAAACCAGAGCTTGCCCACTTACCTTAATCACTGGTAATAAAAATGATAAGGCAACGATTTGATTAAAAGACTTATCAATAAGTGATTAATATCTGCACGTGTGCGATATTCATCAGTATTTACTTGCACTATTCTTTTTATTAGTATTATTGAGTACTTAAGGCATATTAATAAACAGTATAACATTTTCTGCTCAATATGCCCAAAGTGAAAAAGGAAAAAGGTCCTAGTGACTATGGCAAACAGGGTAAGGTTTTAATATATTGAGTAGAATTTTTACTTAATTATTTGTTTTAAAATTGGTTTTTCGTCATCCGTTTAAACCTATTTACTTTAGTATGTTATCTGATAATTCATAACTCTTATTTCTATTCTTAATACTTAATAGTTTTACTGGCTTTGATGCAATTTATCCACCTTATTTCTAGTTTTTTTTTGATTGCTTAAAAAAATTTCATTAAATATTTACCGAAATGTTTTTGTTACTGATGGTGAATTTTACTGTTGACTTTTATTGTTCTATGTATTTTTTGTCATATAGACCTGGAATCAAGTAGAAGTCAAACAGGCTAAGTTCTCAGAAGTACTAATTCTTATGGATAAATTTTAAAATTGTTTACCCTTGCATATTTTTTACTTTTTGGTCTTTTGACGTCATTATAACATAGTATTCAGAATAATACATCAATACTTTCATTATAATACCTAAATTTTATTTACCATTTTTTTAATTTTAACATATCTAGTGTGTTACTAGATTAAAAATAAAATCATTTTAGGTTACTTGTCATTGTTACTTTGTTACTTGATCAAACATATTTTGATTAATTATAATAGACACGTAGTTCAATTTTTTTTTAAATTATGACAGATAATGAAAATATATTGGATATTAGGTATATTAAAAATATACATTATGTTAATTTTATTTATTTGTTTTTTAGGTATAATGTTCAAAAAAGATTTTGGACAACATATATTGAAAAATCCACTCATTATTCAAGGAATGGTAGAAAAATCAGCTTTATTACCAACAGATACTGTACTCGAAATTGGTCCTGGAACAGGAAACTTAACTGTAAAGTTATTAGAACGTGTTAAGACAGTGGTAGCTTGTGAAATTGATGTTAGGTAAATGTATTTAAATTTTTTTTTTTAATTGTTTAATAGTTAAATTTATTAAGTATTTATTTTTTCCAATTATACAATATTTGATCAATATTTAACTATTAATAATTAAAAATCAATATTCAATTAATTATTTTTAATGGAACATGTATATTTATTTTAATTCCATATATTTTTAGGTTAGTGGCCGAGTTGAAAAAGCGTGTTATGAATACGCCATACCAAAATAAGTTGCAAATAAGAGTTGGAGATGTTCTTAAATCTGAACTACCTTTTTTCAATGTTTGTGTAGCTAATATTCCATATCAAATATCATCGCCTTTGGTTTTTAAATTACTTTTACACAGGTAAAACATAATGAAATTTTTTTGTACTAAATTGACACCAAATAAATTAATATACTTAATTATTTTTTAAATGAGTATTATCGATGTTATTTACTTTATGTAAAGAGAAGAGTAAACATATAAAATCTTAGGATTTATCGATTGGTACTATTAATAAAAATAGTTTATAACATTTTAAATTTCTGTGTAGGCCTTTTTTCCGATGTGCTGTTCTTATGTTCCAAAGAGAGTTTGCTTATCGTCTAGTGGCCAAGCCTGGAGATAAACTATACTGTCGTTTATCAATTAACACACAGCTCTTGGCAAGAGTTGATCTTATAATGAAGGTAAGTTAAAGATTTCTTATAGTTTAATTGTTTATTTATTACTAAAATGTATAAATGGTTTTAAATGTTTTAGGTTGGAAAAAATAATTTTAGACCTCCTCCAAAAGTTGAGTCCAATGTAGTGCGTATAGAACCTCGTAATCCACCACCTCCGATTAACTTCAAAGAATGGGATGGCTTAACAAGAATTGCATTTTCCAGGAAAAATAAAACATTAGGTGCAATTTTTAAACAAAATGCTGTTGCAGTAACCTTGGAGAAAAATTATAGAGTTTATTGCTCTTTAAAAAATCAAGTTGGTTAAAAATCATTATTTTTATTTTTATTTGAAGAACTATTCAACAAAGATTTAAAAAAAATAATTTATTTTTGAAATTTAAAATTGAATATGATGCATAAAATCATGAATTCTATCTTTTGGCTGCCAATTTCTTATTGATTTCCTTGGTGTGTTTTCTTTCAATTATTTATATAATTATGTATTAACTTATATTACTCTGAATCAGGTCTGGATTGGCCAGTCTAGCATTTGAGAAAATCTTAAAGAGCCGCTTTAAGTTTTGAATCAAACCTATGGGAGTTAACTAGAAGTTTTCTTGAAATGTGTTGAATTTTTTCTGGTGGGGGCGTAGCTTAAGGTTAAGGTAATGCTATATTTCAAGAACAAATGTAAAATGTAATTATTGCTATTGAATATTAAAATGGACTACTATACCAAATTGTGGGCCGGTAGAAAAAAATTTCTCGAGGAGCCGAGACTACCTAATCCAGCTCTGCTTCAAATAAAAATCAATTTTCATTTTATAAAAGCTTAAATATTTTTCTAAAATTTGATACCAATAACCTATTGAAAAAATATACAATTATTATTATTTATAGATTTATAAAATATTGGTTTTATCTATTTTTAATTCATATATTTATTTATATTTGACAAATAAATTATTAGCCATGCTTATTATTAACCTTCTCAATTTCCAATGTTTTGATTTTCAATCATTTTTATTATGTGTTCATATTGTATACTTGTATAACTATTTTTATACCAATAAAATACTCTAATTTTGAATAACATACGCATTCGAGATTGTTTAACATGCACAAATTTTATGTTCATACTACTTATTATCATCGATGTCAAGTAATTCAGTTAAAATCCATGTTCATTAATATTATCATTTTAGAGCACACTGTCATTTAGATACGATAATGAATACATGTTAATATTTTACAATAAATTGTATCTCTATTGTTAACTAAATTAAAACATTTTTATCTGTAGTGGTATTTAGAAAAACTCACTGTTCCCATACACAATACATTAGTGGTATATGTGTTTATTTGTAATATATATAAATAAAAAATATATATTTTGTGAATTAAATACATTTTTTTATCTATGTTTATTATTACAATAGGATGTTAGTGTTATATCATAGGAAATAATTTAAGCTTGTAAAGTATAAAAACAGGAATAACTTTATTTGGAGTAGTATAAGTTAATAAATATAATATGTAGGTCATGTAGGAGTTAATACAGTATTGTATAACATTTAATTAGTTATAAATGATTAACAAGCATTAGCAAAACCAGACCAAGTACTATGAAATTATTTTAATATTGTAAGCACAACTAAAACTACTTGGTACACAACATCATAGTTCAATTAAATTACTATAACTGAGTGACATTGTGACCACAAAAATTTTACAATAGTAATGAATAACAATAAAACTAATAATAATATAATATAATACATATAATCCCATATATATTAACGAACATCGAGGAATTGCGTGTATTGTAATAGACAAGTAGCCAACAGATAGAACCTATGGCGTTATTTTTTAACAAAAGAAGTGATGGATAACATTTTTGACAATATCTATTTTTTTGTTATAATAAATACTTATAATTTAATTTTAAAAAAAGTGTATTTTTTGCTATGTTATTTTATTAATGTATAATTTAATTATTTTCAAATTAGGAAATAGGAGAAGACTTTGATATTAAACAAAAACTGGATGATGTTTTAAATAAAAATGATTTTTGTGAAAAAAGAGCAAGAAAAATGGATATTGATGAATTTATTGAGTAAGTAAACCTTTGTAATTATTTTGAAGTTTATGAATTATGAATAGGAAATTGATTTTTTGCCATTAATATTATTCTAAATGTTCAAATTATCAATCAATTTAGTATTAAATATGTTATATATGTTTGTTCTTTTTTTATTGTTTTAGATTACTACTTGCCTTTAATAAGGAGGGAATTCATTTTCAATGATCACAAAAAAATCTGGATATGTAATTTTTAAATTTAAAACTGTTATAACTTGGATTTAAAAAATAAATAAATTTGTTCAATTATACAATTTTTTTTTAGTTATTTCATATGCTGTTTTAGTAAAAATTTTAAATAATATAATGAGTTTATTTTTTGTTTAATTTTAATATTACTAACTCCTCTCTCATTTTAAAATGTAATGATTTTTTTTTTTAGTCATCGCCATATTATTTGATGGTTATTTAAGCCATGTAATCATATTTTTATCAATAATTATTCCCTGACTTCTTTCTTTGAACAGTAATCATGTATCAACTAATGACTAAGATTGATATTATCAACTATAGGCAGTAATGTAAACTAATAAAAGTTGTGTTAATTTTCAATTTATAAAAATAAAACATTAAGTTTAACACATCACAATTTTTGTATCAAGTTGTCTTATGATTGTGTATATTATGTGGACAATTAAGAATAAGTTTTATCTAATTAAGTAAATATATATTATTGTGTCTAGAGCTACAAAAACTAATTTTTATAATTGTTTATCATTAATAAATTATTAGGTATAACTATTGTATATTTTATGAAAAAAAAAAAAAGTTATGGTTTATACTTTCATAAAGCGATAAATTTATAATTATAAATTTTAATGTAAATCAAATTTATTTATTTTATTTTAGTATTTACACACAAACTGCTTCATGAAATTAATTTTTTTGTTTAAAATATTTATTTATAAATTATGAAGTTAATATTTCTTTTTAAATATAATTAAATTAATAAAAATTATTTTATATTATACATAAAATTTAATATATTGGTACACGTGATATAAATTTAGATATTGGTCCTTCGTTTTCTATATCTACAACAATAAATGTTAATTTTTCATTACGATGAGCTTCCATTACCACTAATTTGATGATACAATTAGTGAATAAATATTTCCATTTTAATTCTGTCCTTTGATTTAAGCTCATATTTTGAAAATAATTTACCTGTTAAAAATATTATATCATTACTTATTAGTGATTATTAATTACTAATTATACTTGATAAATTTTATTTATTATCATTTTTAAACTATTTGATAAGAGTGAAATGAAACAACAGTAAATGTTTAAAATTTTAAATGTACTGATGTGCTTATAATTAATGTGTTGAATTATTAATTTTAATACATCAAACTTATTTTGTCTTTCAAATATTATTATTTACCTCTTTTAATATTTTGGTAGCAGCTTGATGATGCAATAAACAGTTTTCCAGTGTACCTGTTGAATCTGTTATTGATAATCGAATATTTATTATACTTTCTAATTCATATGATCCAATTTTAATTTCAAAATTAGAAGAACATTCTGGATTGAGACACATTAAGTATGAATTTTCCACATTCATACCACATAGATTACTGCCAAGAGTATTTCATATATTAAGAATTGTTTATTACAATTGAAATTGAGAATAATTACTTGCCATTTAGTTAAAACCAATGGAGATAATCCATCAATATTAAATTTGCTTACAATTGCATATATCATTGCTGTAAATTGACTACCAATTTCATTAGATTTAACTAAAACTCGTTTACAAGTCATAATTTCTGTTATAGTTGATACTGAAAACAAATGATTTAAAATATTAGTCAGTTAGACTAGGTACTTAAAACTTAGCATTAAATATTAATGTATTTTTTTATTTTTGTGCATGTAATTAGTTAAAAATAAAAATGTATAACACATAATAATTAATAATTACCTATTTAGTCATAAATTTAAAATATTTATATATTTATACATAATAAAAATATATACTATAAGCCTGTGTATGCAAGAAAATATATGAGAAAAAAAACTAAATAACGATGAAAATAAGTTAATAAATATAAATTACAATTCGGAATGTTAATGTTTATTTTAGTGGACAGCCCAGTTAAGTGTGAATTTGCGTAAATTTTTAAATCATTCGCTTCTTTTGTAATCGGATCCTCAGTTATAATTGTTCTATTAGAAACTACAGCTGTCATGCTTCTTTTAAAAATATTCCATTCCAAGTATAAATTTGAGAAAGCTAAGACTAAAATACAAAAATGTAACTAATTAATTATTATTTTTTTCTCAACATTTAGCTAATTAATATATAATAAAATAAGACTTGTGATAGATAATAATAATATAACATAGAGCTTGAAAATTAAATTTATTACAATAAATAAAAATAAGTTATACCAACTAACTGTAGTATATCTGTATGTGGAGTTGTGGTAAATAGATAATTTTCTAATAAAAATATAATCAATTAGTATTTCAATGAAAATATTTTATTTACTTAAAACCTATTTGATAGCACTACATAAGTGCAAATTAAAAAAAAAATAAATGTATTTTATGAAATAATAGACTTGTTAATAAAAATAGTTTATATATTTGATTTCATTGTAATATTATTTGGATACCCATCATTAAATAAATATTTTAAAACTACTTATATTAAACGAAATAAAATGTTTCCTTGTTAAATTCGTGATTTAATTGTATAATTTTATATTTGATCACTTGTTTGTTTTGGTATCCATTGAGCTGCTCTTTCTGATAATTCCCTATCCCAAATTTTTACAGCAAGTGTTGGGTATGTTTTGTCCATAACAATAATTTCTTTTAAGAATACTTCTTTGCCAACTTTGGTTTTTATCAATTTAGTAGGCTTTACCTTAATTATAAATTAGGTGTTAAGTATCACTTTTGAATTTTTATAAGTTAATCACTTACACATCTTACTGCAACTAACAAACAACAAAATTTTCCACACATCTTTTTTCCACTAAAATGAATATCCTCGATATTAATATAAATGTGTTGTGGACAAGTAGGAATCCTGAGAAGGTATTTATATTTCATAGAATCTTTAACATCATGTTGCAACATTTGAGATGAATTTTCATTTAATGTTAAATAGAATGAGCTAGATATTAAATTTGAAATTTAAAGGAAAATAAAGGCAAGGATTTAAGTCAATATTTAATTAAGAGTAATAGTATATTTTATTTACCTAGAACTTGTTGGCATATATTTGTCTTTGATATCCATTTTAAATGTAACGTTTGAATTAACTAGATCAACTATAAGGAAAAATTAATAGTATCAAGAATTAACTGATACTATCTATCACATATTATTTTATATTTACCAACATCTCCAATTTTAAAATCATTGTATAAACGTTTAGTATAATCATTAGAACCCCAAACAGATACATTAACCATATTTTCTGGAGAATCACGTACAGTAAATGAAAAGACAGATTTTTCTTTATTATCTGTTAAAAAATACATTGTTATTTTTACTAAAATGTTTATTAATTTTCTAATAATAAATAGTTCTTGGTATTTTTTAATTTATATTAATACTGAATTATTTTTAATACTTAGTGTTAATTCTAATAAATCATTAGCTAAACTTTTTACCTATAATTATTTTGAATTAAAAATAAATGTTTTAATATGCATATTGTTTAGGTTTTAGGTTAAAGTGTTATAGCATATTTAAACACCTATTAAATTTAAGTAAAAATTTTGCATAATTATTTATTAAAATTTAACTTAATAATGTTATCTTTTTATTGTTTATTGTTAACTGATAATAGTTTATATGAAAAGTTATTTTACCTATTTTTGATATTATTACTCTAGGATTTTGTTTAGCAATAATAATGCCAACTACTAAAATATTTGTTGTTCCTGGGAAAATTGAATTAAGCTTGAGTCTTGTGACACCGGTATTCATTTTTACTAATTAATATTTAGTGAATAGTAATTGTATTCTATATGACCTAAAAAATATATAAAATATAATTATGATTAGATAACATAATATTTAGGTAGAAAAGAATTAAATATATAGTCATACAGATTTGGATTATAATTTATACATTTTAGAATAGAAACGAATATTAAACTAATTAGGTATTCTAAAGGATTGCGTGTGCTATTTGATATGTGATAATACTTTTTGAAATTTTGTTACTTAATAAAATAAATTGATTTATAAATATTGACTATAATCAAAAATTAACGGAATTAAAGAATTATAAATTCAATAATTTTACAAGTCAACATGTATTTTTTTTTAAATCCAACAAAATCCCAATTATTTGTTAAGCTTTGTTATATGCAATTCATTGCATATAGAGTATCATAAATTATAAATAGAATATTGCACGCCTGAATTATGGGGTAAATATGCACATATTTGTAGAAAAATAAAAAGCTCATGAATAGTAGGAATAAACTAAAATTATTTTTTTTCAAATTCATCATGTAACACTTTTGTGTATAATGTTATGTAGGTGTAATAATTTTAAATAAAAATAATTTTTCTTTATTATCCGCCACTTTCTTGGTATCGTTTAAGACGATCAATCGATATTTTACTGTAATTAAAATATAGTTTTTGAAATTTATTATTATGGAAAATATATTATCAAGTTTTTAATGTTTAAATTAAACCTCAATAATTAAAATATTTTTTTATTTTTATAAATGATTATCTATATTCTTTTCATACTTAACCAATAAAATAAGTTAATAGTTCAGTAATTTTATAAATCATAAACAATATTATTAATATGTAGATTAGTACATTCAAAATAAGAAACATATAAAATTAAAACATACGGTTTTTTATGAACTTCGAAATCGGATCTGAGTCTTTCTTATAGATACCGATGAAACTTAAAGGTTAATTACATTTTTTTATTACGATTTTAAATCTGCACTCTACAGCCAAAAAACCCGAATAGTAAGGTATATGTTACATTAATCTAGAGCGTAAGTATACGTTTGTTTATACGCTGTCACAGCGGTTACTACAGTATTTATATTATATTATATGACCGGTAACAATCACAATCATTATAAACAAAATTGTCGTATTGACATGGCATTGGTTGCTTAATTTTAGTAGACGTACAATCTAATATTATCAATGGCATAGGTATTACTCGAAGATGTATGGCATACGATTACTGTTGTTTTATGCTTAGGAGACGGATTCGCCTTTACAGTCCACGCTGCATTAGTGCAGTAGTGTAGTCTGCAGTGAGCATATGCCAGATAGGTAGGTAGGTACTCGTATAGGCTATAGCCTATAGCCATATAAATCGGTGTATATATCTTATAATAGGTCAAGGTTAAGTTAGCCGTTAAGCCAATAATTTAAATATCAATATGAACTTCAAATAAATTTCAACATTGAAGTTTACCTACACGAGTACTTACTTAGCCAATTGTATGATATGTAGATACATGCAGTAACATCAATGTCTAGGTTATCTTAGCATTCGTAATGGTTGTAATATGCGTGGGTGAATGGTACCTACCTACTACGGTAATAAACTGGATACAAGACTCATCGAGATATTTAATAATCGATGACCAGACTTTTCACAGCATTTTTTGTCGTTATCTACGTATTATGTACTGGCACAGAAGATGACATTTGAATATTTGATAATCTTAGTCTAGAATCGTGACGATTGGCGATGACACACTAAGTCATGCAGGTACAATAGTTTAATGTCATTGGATACTCATGTAGAATAACATTTGAATTCGACGCAGTTCTAGAAATTTCTAGGTAGATTATGGTTAATGAATGATATCATGATTACCACGGTCAATTAGAATACAATAAAAACAGTGGCATGCAGTTAGAACAAGCTAGGTAAGCGGCGTATACCTGGTCAAAAAGGAAGAAATAAAAAGTTTAACATTTATTATACTAAAAATTGACAATACGACTTAAACATTAAATGACTGTTATTTATTAATTATATTATGATATTTATTTTAAAACAGTATATTAGGTTTTTTTGAAAGAAATTAAATTAATTTTTTTTGTATAGACAATTTCTTTACAAAAGCACTCTTATATTAAAACAACGACCGATTGCAGTAGAAGAGATTATCCATAGCGGTTAGAAGATATAGGTATATGCCGAATGGTTATCGATATTTTTAAAAACTTAATTTCAATATTTTGCCGTTGCATATTGGATAATTATTATTATCAATATATTTTTATTTTAAGAATACATTTTAAATTCTAATTTTTATCAATAAAATATCTTTTTTTAAAGACTTAACTTGAAATGTTATTGTAGCACTTACTCTGTTACTCAATACATAATATCTCCGCACGTCACTGAATAAAAGCTACACGCAATGACAAAAGACGTGCTTTGAACCAAATTTAGGTTACGAGGTAGCTACTTGGTAATCGGGTAACTGTGAAAAATCTTAAATAATTCGCTTTTTAAGATAAAAGTTATTAAAAAACTGTTTTTTAAATGCTAAAATCAAATTCTTCAAAAAAGATTTTTAAAACTGAAATAAAAAATCTTCATAATAGAACCAATAGGTACATAGATAGACTAAGTACCTATTTTATATGAAATACTTATTACTAGGTAGAATGCTTGTTATAATCAAAAGTATTAATAATTAAAATTAATATTTTTATACGATTTCTAATACACTGATTCATAACTATAAAAAATATAATCTTTCGATATTTTTATTTTTATTTAAGAAATAGGTTTATTTTTAAATATTTCCAGCTCTGAATTTATTATGTACCTATTTATATCAACATCATAATTATGATGAATGGTGATATATTAGGTATACCTACAAAAATGTTGAGATATATTCTATGACTACAACTATATAAAACCAATAGAAAATAATCTAGTAAGTATTTTTTTTAATTAAAAAAAATATCAGAAAAAAAATGATTTTTATTTTTAAAAAGACTCAGTTCTGCTAGTATACCTAATGTTGATAAGTTATTGAGTATGAAACATGAGTATACGGGTTACGGGTATTAATTTAATTTCTTTACGTAAGCTTCTATACATTGTGTTAATATAATACCAAATCTAGGTAAAAGTAATATTAATATATTTACTTAATCAGTAAATGTATGATAAAAACAATATTTCTTATAAATAAATAACAGATGCCTATTAAGTACTGAAACTATTGGATTCATTTATTAGGTAGGTACAATTATTACGTATCTAATTACTAAGTCTATGAGAGCACCGAGTACATGCATTGACTAAGTACGACTGCTTTATTTATCATTATAATATAATTATTAACGCACGACAGTGGAACACATAATATTAAATTGTTATACCTATATACATATATACAGATATTAACAAAGATAACTTTTAGGATACACCTAGTTACCGATAGCATATTAAGATATATACATACTTAATAGTATAAAATCTAAATCAAAATTTTAAGTAATTTTATTGTTTCAACATCTTGTTGACTGTTAAGTGTAAATAGTAAAATTATTATAATGATCGATATAATAAGTAATTTTGTTCAAACTCGAACTTTGATATTTAAAATAAAATAATCAAGATTGTTTATTATTTATATTTATTAGTTTCGGTTCTTGTGAAATATTTATGAGGAACTTTGTATTAAATTTTCAAACATTAGCTATAGAAATTGGAGATTCAATAAATTGCAGTTTACTATAAAATACTCGTAGCTTGAAAATGTTCGTTAATAATAATACATTTTGTAAAAACTTGAACTTCAAATAGGTACATACAGAAAAATGTTTTCCTATGTGTTTGTATAATTTTTATACAGATTTAAGAACAATTTACGTAAGATTATGCATTCAATTTTTAATTTACCTAGTACCTACGGTTATTCGTTTTTTGAATATTAAAACAAAAATCAGTCAAGGAGAAATAGTTTACTATAATATACAGGTGAATATCCAATGTCGTAAAAAATTTAACTTCTAATAACATTCTCAAAAAATTAATGAAACTTTCACATAAACTTTAAAAGTATGCTTAAAAACAACTATAGTTATAATCATTCACAATATTTTATAGTCATTTATAAAGAAAATCGAACATTTTAATTGTCTTTAAATAATTCAAAAAGTGAATGAAAATTTTGTTTGATTATTATAATATATGTTAAAATTTAATGGAAGTTTCGAATTTTTACGGTAATTCATTTTTGAATTATAAAAAAATAAAGAAACTTATCATACCAACAACTGGTTTAACGTACAAATTTCCATTTTCCTCAATTTTATTTTTGTTTTTCCCAATTATTAAGATCATCTTATTATCTTATGTGTAAACCTTATCTATTTTCGTTATAATTCAAACTTTATGTTTATAAAAATTATTTGTGGAATTGCGCTCTTCAACTTTTTTTTTCATTCAGAAAAAAAACTATTTATTAGAAGCTATACAGTTTTTGACAAAATTTTTTTTAAAATGTTGATATTAGAATTTTCCTGGATATCGATGAGTTGTCATTGATGATACTGAAATTAAGAAATTAAATTTAATAGGATAATTGTTGGGGTAAAGAAATATTGGAGTGCTGTTGCCTGATAGTTTTTTATCGGTAAGTAAAATAATTAAAAAATAATAAAAATGATTTAATTAATTATGTTAATTTATTAATATTTTTTTCTTTAATTATTCTTTTTTTATTTTCAAGCAGGAACATTAATTTATTTAAAAAATATATATAATATTGTTTGTTAACATTACTGCTAACACTTTAAGTTATCATTTAAGTTTACTGGTTTATAAAATGTTTATGTATATATTGGGAATTATTTTAAATATAAATAGGTATATTGTATTAGAATCACCGAAAATTACAACTTATAATATTAAATTGTCTATTATAAATGTTTTCATAAATGTGCTTATATAAATTAAT